GCCGCAGACAGGTGGGTCGCGGGCGCTGTGACGCCTCCACACCTCGAAGCGTCTACGGCGTGGCCCACGGGGGCCGCAACGCCACCGCACCTTGCCGCGTCTCCGTTGTGGCCTACGAGTGCCGCAACGCAGCCCACACTCGCCGCGTCTCCGGTGTGGCCTACAAGTGCCGCAACGCAGCCGCCCATCGCCACGTCTGCGGGGTGGCCCGCGGGTGCCGCAGGGGCTTCGACACCTCGCCGCACCGCACGGCCAAGGACTGCGCCGGTTGCACCCACGTCGCACTGTTAGTCGCAAAGGTGGGCGACTGGTTGGCCTTCCAGGACCGGTTCGACGCGATGTATATGTCGGTCGGCTGGCCCATGGAGGAGGCATTGCGGGCCCTTCCGACCCGTTTGGATGAGAGGGCGCTGCAGGCTTTCAAGTCAATCCCACCAGTCGATAAGTCTACGCTTCTGGCGGCGTATATTCAGATGGCCAACGTCTTCGAGCCACCGTCCAGTGCGTGCCTGAAGTTCTCGCTACGGCGGCGGGAGGAGGGGGAACTGCCATTGGCCTTCCGCTGTTCGCTCCTGGCCTGGCACAGGCCGCATACCCTGACCTGGAGGGCAGAGCACTGGACTCGATGGCCCTGGAACGGCTACTTGACCTGGCACGGGAGCTGGGGATCGCTTTGTCGATCAACAACGATCGCCAGATCACGTCCTTGGCGGTGGCCGAGAACATTCAGACACACCTCTCCCTCCGCCAACAGCCCTAGATGGCGCGGGGGTCCCGGCACCAGAGGGGAGAGCCGTCTCTCAGGGAGTGGACACCCTCGCAGCCCTGGCAAATCCTGAGCATCGCGGGAGGGATGCGGGTCGCCGTCCGGAGCAGCGGGGGCGGCCGGGACCTTCCCATCCGCAGGACGCTGCCACTGTGGCCTGCGTCCGCTGTGGCCAGCAGGGCCACATTGAGCGGGGCTGCCAGAATGCCCCGGGAGCCTTCAACAAGCTGCCTCCGGCCCCTCCCGGTCCCTCGTCAGCATCGGGCCCCAAACCCCAGACGAGTCGCGACGTATCACCCGCACGGCCGCTCCCCTCACCTCATGCATCTAGTGGGGCTAGGGCCCATCGTCATGGGGTTGTCCTTGAGGGGTCGGGTGCACCATCGTTGTCACCCGCTGGGTGGTTGGACATGCTTGTGCACCGGATGGAGGCGGTGGCTGCTGGCTCCTCAGCGGTGGCGGGATGCGTGCAAGGGGTGGAAGTTCACTTTTTGGTGGATACGGGTGCATCTGCCACTATTATTTCGGAGGCCATCCTCGAGCTACTACCCCGCAGCGTGGGTCCATTAAGGCCGGTTCATGGGGTTTGTGTCGCCGCGAACGGCGGCAATTTAGACATCTTGGGCCACGTTATAGCATCGGTTCGGGTTGACGAGATTGAGTTGGCCGGGCCTATTTTGGTCTCCAAGACCTTGGCATTCCCATGCCTCTTGGGGACCGACTTTTCGTCTAGAATGCCCATTCGAATTCTCGTTGACCAGGTATGTGTGTAAATGCCGTCAGGAAGGCGGTTCTTTTCGACTCTAAACTTGCTCTCCGGCTTCTGGCAGTTGCAACTGGACGAGACCTCTAGACCCAAGACAGCGTTCCGCACGCCCCAGGGGTTGTTCGAATTCAATCGGCTTAATATGGGTCTTCATCCGGCCCCAGCCACCTTCCAGCGTCAAGGAGATGGTCTTGGTGGACGACGTCATTGTTTTTGGCCGTACAGTTTGACGAGCACTTGCAACGCCTTGAGTCTGTGTTCGTCAAAGTGCGTGCTGCGGACTTTAAATTTAACCCCAGAAATGCCATTTGCTACAACCATCGATGAAGTATTTGGGACACATTGTTAGTACGTCAGGTGTCGCCACTGAATGCGGAGAAAACAACTTGTGTCTGGACGTGGCCGACTCCCACATCTGTCGCGGAGGTGTGTAGCTTCGTCGGCTTCACATCGTACTATCGTCGGTTTGTTCGCGATTTTGCGACAATTGCGAAGCCGCTGCATGCACTCTCCGCCAAAGGCCAAAGGTTTCACTGGGGCGCGGAGGAGGACGCTGCTTTTGCGGTGCTTCGCACGGCCTTGGCAGATGCGCCGCCCTTGGGGTACCCGGATTTTTCTAAACCATTCCTTCGACACCGATACCAGTGACATGGGCATTGGAGCAGTCCTGGCCCAGGTGGTCGACGGGGTTGAGAGGGTGGTGGCATACGGAAGTCGTGTTCGGTCCCCGACGGAGCAGCGATAGTGTCACCCGGAGGGAAGTGCTGCCCATAATGTTTTGTTCCGTTATATAGGCCTTACTTGTACGGCAGATGGTTCACGGTCCGAACCGACCATGCGGCCCTACAATATTTGCTGATGATTATCCAGTGGCCCAGTTGGTCGCTTCGGCCAAGGCGGCCACCCCTCCAGGTGCGGCGTTGCCTGCGGATGTCGGCCTAGGACTCCCCAGAGAGCTATGGTCCAGCTTGCAGATGGAGGATTCCTCTCTGTGTTGGGCGTAAGGCCCGGAGCTCAGCTTCGTTGGCGGCCCCGGCGATCACCGTGCATGACCGTCTCTTCATGCGTTGGGATGCTACTGTGTGGTTGTGCCCACTAGCCTGCGTGGAAAATTAACCCGAGCCATTCACAAGAAGTTTATGCACCCTGGCTACCACAAGACCTTATTGACCCTTAAGCGGGACTATTACTGGCCGGGTGTAGAGGGTGATGTGGCGCTAATTTTCAAGGGTTGCCACGACTGTGTGCAGAGAAAGGCCCCAGTTGTCCAGGACCGGGCCCCGCTGCAGTCCATCTGGGTTTCTCGCGTTAATTTGCTTGTGGCGTTTGACATTTTGGGCCCATTCCCTGCATCCCAACGGGGCCATAAATACCTCTTGGTGGGCGTTGAGTACCTCACACGTGGGCCTGTGGCGTGGCCTTTGGTTAATCAGTCGGCCTCCTCTATCACCAAGGCGTTCGTCCAGGGGTACGTGTTGGACAAGGGTGCGCCGGAACAATTGTTAACTGACCAGGGGTGGAATTTCTCGTCTAGGTTTCTCAAGGTGGTGTGAACTCCTGGGCACCAAGAACATCTGCACCTCGGCCTACCACCCCCAGTCAGACGGGATGGTAGAGCGGTTGAACCGCACCCTCAGGTCCATGCTATGCCACCACGTGAACACGTCCCAGTCGGACTGGGGCCTGTTCGTCCCGGGGGTCTTGGAGGCATATCGGTTGGCCCCTCACGCCTCAGTGGGATTTTTGCCTTTTTGTTTGATGTACGGTAGGGAACCGGAACCCCCAGTGCACGTCCAGATGGACGTTGGGTCTTCCAAGAAGGGGTCGGCGGTGCCGGTCCCTTTGAAGGTCGCACTTGACCGGTTGCGCGAGGCACGGCAGGCCGCTACCGAAAATTCCGCCAGCCGGCAGGCGGCTAATGAGTGCCTGCCCAAACACCAGGCAGCTGGTCTCCTGTGGGTGGCGGGCCAAAAGGCATGGCTACATTTCCCCCAGGATCCCATTGGCACGTTTCCCAAATTACATCGCCCTTGGCAGGGCCCCGTTGAGGCTGTGGAGGTCCGACGACCGCAGCGCATCCGGATTCGGTTCGGTCGCCAGCGGTGGATTGTGCACCCGTCCCGGCTCAAGCGTTATGTACCATCTAGCCTGGGGGACCCACCCCCACTCCCGGAGCGGCCGGCGGGTGATGCATCCGTCGTGCCTGACCGGCCGGGTCTCGTTGACGGAGGCGACGTCCGCCCTGTGTGTGTGCCCCCAGGCCCCTCCCAAGTAAGGCCAGCGGAGACCCCTCGGCCACCGGAGGCCACGGCGGTGGGCCCTTCGCCCGCTAACGGACCACCTGCACGGGCGGCGGACGCTACACGAGGAAGCGGGCCGGCAGCGCATACCCGCTCGAGGGGGATGCGGCTCCGGTGATGGCCTTTGTGGCTGTTCAGCAGGCCCTGGCCCGGCGTCAGTTCGGCGCTGCTGGGCAGAAGAGGCCTTCGTTCTCTCTCTGTTTTTTCTGTTGTTGTGCCTGTGGTGCCGTGCTGCCCTAAGGTTGAGTTTATTTCTAGTAGCCGGTTTTGCCTTCAGGCACAAGCATTTTGTTAGTTGTTCGGCCTTCAGTCCGGGTTTGGGCCCTGCTTGCGTTGTGGTTGCAGCCGGGTCGGCTGTTTTTTTTTCACGGGGGGTGGAGGGGGTAATGTAGAAGAGTAAAATATGGAAGTGGCGTCATGGGACGTGATGTCATGCGCGCTGGGCGGCACAATGACGTCATGTCTCCTCTAGTACTTAAGGGGGCCCACCCCGTGACGTAAGCGGGGTCGTAGCTGGAATCTAGGGTCGGAGTAGGGTGGAATGGGGAGCCAGGAGCAAGGGGGTAGGAATAGGGGATAGCACAGCGCCAGGGCTGGAGGTGACTGCGCTCCTCAGTCGGCCGTGTTGGCTGAACCCACGGCCGGCGCAGAGGAGGCAGCACGGGGCAGCCGGCTGTGTCGGGAACCAGTGGGACCGAGCCCGGGACCCCTAACCCCTGAGAAATTGTTACACCCATGTGTTATTTGCCATATCCTAATAAACCTTCCGGCGAATGCCCTTAACCTTCACGTCGTCTCCGAGTCGTCGTCGACTAGTTCTCTACACTAGTATACACAATACACCACACTATAATTGTGAATGTAGCAGTGGGTTTACTCTGCAACACACAACCGGTTAGTGCTGGACTAGTATACACAATACACCACACTATAAATGTGAATGTAGTAGAGGGTTTACTCTGCAACACACAACTGGTTAGTGCTGTACTAGTAACAAATTGGCACGTTTTGTTCACGTGATAGAACCTCGATAATTGGCTGCGTTGGGTTGTGGTGGAGGCGGGTTTAACCCACGCACATTTATATTCATGCGATCTAACTTTAAAAAATCCTCTTATCGTGGTCGCGAAAGCACTACTACCAGGTGTTAAACTCACGTCCGACTTACCATCTCGCTGGGGTGGGTGAACAGGAGGTAGATGCCGGGCAGCTTGTCGTCCGAGTCCACCTTGAAGGGGTGGTGGACGCCCTGCAGCCGCTCGAGCCCCTGGACAAACAGGCTGCCTGCGAGTCCAAACAACGACGCAGCCACCGATTGACCCGACAAAGAGAAGAAAAGAGGGAAAAGTATTCAAGTAACATTCGTGGGTATTTCATGAAACTTATTCTTAGGTTTGTTCGGTAAAGTCACGTAGGTAAAAAAATTCAATTAAAATTAATAAAAGTAAAATAAAATAAAAATCACGACGTTTCGGAGGCAACACAAGCCTCCGTCTTCAAGTGGAACCGTCACAGCACGATAGCTGTATCAAGTAAGAGAAATTCCAAGAAAACAGTCCTTGTATATATACTGGTTGAGGGTGGGAGGAGCCAAGGTAGGCCCTGGATATTAATATTGTGAGGTTCGGTGCGGCTGAAGCACGCTGTTAGGAATGAGCCTTTGTTGTGTAGACTGGTTGAAAAGAGTTGTTAAGGTGAGGCTGATGTAAAGGTGCGTGTAAATGGGACTGAGGCTTTTGTTATGTAGAGGTGGTGAAGCTGAAACCGCTGCCAGGAATGAGTCTTTGTTGTGTAGACTGGTTGAACTGGGAGGTTCTAAGAGTTGTTGAGGTGCGGCTGCTCTGAATGGAACTGAATTTTGCCATGTTTCAGATCTGACTTGTGCTCGCGGGCACGATCAGAGATATGACGTTTCGTTTCTCCAATGTAGCAATCACCACAACTGCAACTCAATTTGTAGACTCCAGGGTATTGTAAGTCAGGAATGACATCTTTCACAAATGGAATTAGATCACGGATTTTATGTACTGTACTGAATTGGACTAGGATCTTATGTTTGTTTAGAATTTTGGAGATCTTTTTGGTCACGCCTGCTATGTATGGCAACGTGATAGTTTTGATAGGAGTTTCATGTGGCTGTTTCTGTATGGTGGGAGAAACAGTTTGGCGGATGGTGCGGTCAGAGTATCCGTTCATCCTGAGGACCCGATGTACATTCACTGGGCAGGTGGTGTTGGTCAGAAATGCCATGAGCTCTGTGGTATAGCGTTTTGATGAGAGAATTCTTTTGAGATGGGTGGTGGTGGGAATCAGGTTTCAAGTAGGAATCTGTGTGGGTGGCTTTCCTGTAGACAGAATGTCCCAAGGATCCGTCAGGTCTCTGCTCAAACAGAACATCTAAGAATCGTAGTTTACCATCTTTCTCCACTTCCATGGGGAATCTGATGGATGGGTGTCTGGAATTGATGTGGTCCAAGAAGTGGTTCAATGCTGGGAGGCCATGTGGCCAAATGACGAAAGTGTCATCCACATACCTCTTCCACAGGGAAGGACGCAGGGTGGATGTCTGGATGGCGTCTGATTCAAACTTTTTCATGAACATGTTGGCTATCACTGGTGACAAGGGGGAGCCCATAGGGATACCCTCATTCGTCGTGATTTTTATTTTATTTTACTTTTATAAATTTTAATGCTTTACCTACGTGACTTTACCGAAAAAACCTAAGAATATGAATCCTTGCAGTCACGAAAGCTTCAAATCTAGAATTTAATGAAACTGTTCACGAGATTGTGCAAGTATAAATGTGTCCGTTAACCTGCCACCACCCCCGTGGAGCCTTAACAGCAAGTTGGGGCAAATGCTGTTAGCCAGCACCTATGAAGTCCGGCACGGCACACGAGGGGGTGGGTGGCGATGTTTACTACACACCGCTACACCAGGTACTCATTTGAGACCAAGTCGATCTAGGATAGGCCCAGAACCGCCACAACAACACACACAGACACTGCCCACCATGCATATGCAAACACACTGCCCACCACACACACACAGATGGACGGACACATGCACACACACATGCAAACACACACTGACGGACAAACACGCGCGCGCACACACACACACACCACCCGTCACACACACTGCCTCGCACACACACGCACGGACACACCGCCCGTCACACAAACATAGGTACACCGCCCATCTCACGCACACACACAAGAATCCACCCCCCGTCACACACACACGCACGCATGCACACACATGCACGCACACGTGTCCTTGTTGAGCAGCAGGTGGGCGTGTTGCAGGATCTCCATGAAGGGCAGCTTGAGCGAGGCCTGCAGCTCCATGACGGAGTACGCGGTGACCAGCTCGATGTCGTCACCACCACGGTCACTACCGCGGCAATCATCGCCGCCGCCTGTCCCTTGCAGCAACGACCGCAGCTGCCTGAGCACGCGAGCCTCCTCCAGCAGCCACAGTGGCTGCGGCAGAAGCAGGGGTCAAGGCGCCAACAATGACTTTCGCTGTGTCGTATTCGTCATATGTCATCGTCGCCATCATCATTGTTGTTGCGTTTACGAATCGGCAACCTCTACTTGTACCGGAGGAAGAATCCGATGAGCCGTAAAGCTCTTTGTTTATCACAGATGTTCTGTTAAGTGGGGGTGGCACACGAGGGTCAGAAAATTTACAACGACAAACGCGACACAAAAACACGGTGGGAGTGCAAAGTATAGGAAAGGTAAGAAAATCACTAAAAATAAATAATCACATTTTTATTTTACTGGGTAAGAGCCACCGAGCTATTAGCTCTGCCACAAATGACAGCAGCTCACAATGCTTGCTGTATACAGGTAGTCCTCTACTTACGATGGAGATGCGTTACGACGACCCCATCGTAAGTCAAAAATATCGTAAGTCGAAGATGGCCTCGCCTACCCAGGAGTCTTAAAGAAAGGTGATAATTTAGCAAAACAGAGCAATTAACAGTACCGTACTGTATAAACAATATACTGTATTTATTAATTACAATACTGTATTGCACAGTGAAATGTAAAGTAAAAAAAACTAAAGTAAATTCTTAACCTACCTATATGAACTGCAATTTAACAGAAAGTTTTTTCAGGAAACAATCCTATCTGCTATAAAAACTTTTATCATGCATTGAACGTATCGCATCGTGGTAACCCTAAAATGTAATCGCTAAAGCTACGTATCATACATGCATTGAACGTATCGTAACGCATCATATTGTACTGTACTCACCAAGATTCGTACGCTACTGCGTTTGCCTGCCGCACGAAATTTAAAATATTTTACAATTTTGTCGCATCGCTATCGCCAGATCGAAATATCGTAAGTCAGACCATCGTAACTCGGGGACTATCTGTATCATCATCACCACGTGGAAATTAACAGCAGCTAAAACAATCGAAGTAACATTCATGGAGGTGCCACGGTGGCTAGGAGATTTTTACTCCCCCGCCTCGGTATGCAGGAGGGTCGTGGGTTTGATCCCGACCCTGACGCCCGCTGTATATTTGGCGTTTGCGGTGTCTCTCTCTCTATCCCCGTGGTGGTCACATGGATTTGTATCCAAGTCCTCCAGGTTTTCCCCCTCCCCATTTAGAATTGACATCACGCGTTTAGAGGATTTGGCTGCTGCTATAAACTTCCACGTGAGGATGAGCCACTTCGTCGGACTATCATTTGTAATATCATTTGTGATAGCCCGACAAAGTTTGGGCTACCTGGCAATCACTTGTGATGGCTAGGTCGCTTCTGAAAAAGAGCGATATAGCAGCTCAATCGGCCTTACCTAGTAAAATAAAAAATATTTTACTTCAGGGTAAGAGCGGTAGCTACTACTACCGCCCCGTTATAGGATGACCAGACCGCATAGCCGAGTCAGCGCCCTCCCTCCCCACCCACCTGGGCCCTGTCCGCCGGCACAACTCCCTCACCTGGCGGAGGTGTGGCGAGGCAGAGAGCAGGATGGCACGCGCGCTGTGGTACTCGGAGAGGCAGTCGCGGCAGTACTGCAGGTCCTCCTCGGCGGCCAGCGCCCGCCGCTCGGGCAGCCGGCCCCGCGCGTACGCTCGCAGCAGCCGCACCGCGTCGGCGCTCGGCCCTCCGTCGGCGTCGTCGTCGTCGGTGTCGGCGTCGTCCTCCCCCTCATCGCCTCCGTCGCGCCGCGTGCTCGCGCCGGAGTCGTCGCCGCACTGCAGCCAGTACTGCTGCTGCTGCGGGGTGCACCAGTGGCAGGTGCTCATGGTGTTTGCTGGGGGACGTGGAAGAGAGGAGAGGCAGATTTAATTTGAGGACTTAAGGGAGGCAGTCACTTCCTCCTCCTCCGGTCGTGCGGCTGACGTGGATGCAGAGCGGTACCAACAATTTTGCGCTGCGCGCGCAGACGTCAAACTTCGCTGGTACCGTAATGTAGAGCCAACCGCGCTCTTCGGAGGTGCGGGGGAAGGACAACAAACTCAACACATAAAGCAGTTCTAAAGAAACTAGTTTTAAATTTTGTATAATAGTGTATAGTGTAGTGTATAGTGTAGTAGTGTATAATAGTGTAGTACAGCGGTCGGGAACCTATGGCTCGCGAGCCATATATGGCTCTTCCAGTGACGGCATATGGCTCCCAAGCAATTTTGAGTTGAAAAAAATAATAATAATGAAAAAACTAAAAATCAGTTTGGAACTGATTTTAAAATACTTGTGATATTGTTTAATGATACTGTGTCATTTTAAAGTAAACAGAAATTAGTTTTGAAGATAAATTTCACGGGTCACGCCTGCATGAAGCTCAACCTCACCACGTATGAACCAGACTACAAGGCCATCAGCAAAACCATGCAGCACCAGAAGTCGCATTAAAAGTAAGACATATTTAATTTATTAAACGTTAAAAATACTATATGGCTCTCAATGAAATATATTTAGAAATATTTGGCTTTTATGGCTCTCCCAGTCAAAAAGGTTCCCGACCCCTGGTGTAGTAGTATATAATAGCGTAGTGTAACATGTGTAGTGTAGTGTGTATATAGTGTAGTGTGTATAGTGTAGTGCTTGTAGTGTAGTGCGTGTAGTGTAGCATGTGTAGTGTAGCATGTGTGGTGTAGTGTGTGTAGTTTCATGTCTGCCAAAAACAACCCCCCCTACCTCCCCGTGGTGCCGGATGGGCAACGTTGTCGTGGACAGTGCTGTGGGGGGAGGGAGGGCCAATTCTGATTGGCCTTTCCCCTCAGGGCGTTTGTGACCACCACAGCGGCTAATCAGGAGCTCTGGATGGGTGCGAGGGGCTGGTAACCCCTCCACCTTCAATAAATTAGCACTAAACCACGTGAAAAATATCAAATTTATAAGCTTGTGCCGGAGGCTCCGGGGGGACAGGCGTCTATGATGTATCCTGGCCAAACCCCATCTGGCGGAGCCAGGAGATTGAATCTTTACCCTCGGGGCTACTCGAGAAACAACAAAAAGCCACTACGTGTGGCCACGTAGAATGTTTGAACGCTCACTGCGGAGAAGAGGCTTTCACGCCTCTGTCGGGAGCTGGACCGGTACCGCCTGGATCTCTGTGGCATTCAGGTCCGTTGGACCAGCTCTGGCTCCTGTCACCATGAGGGGTGGAAAGTCCTCTACTCGGGGCAGGAGATTGCCAAACAACAGGGTGTGGCTCTTCTTCTGAACAAAAAAATTAAGGGGACGTGGGAATGTGGCGGTGAGGTGTGGGAAGCTGTAAGCCCCAGGCTACTTTGGGCTCGCCTTCCTATCAACCAGAGGCGAGGAGAGGTGGTGGTGGTTACTTATGCCCCCATCGAAGACGAACATCCGTGGAGGGATGCAGGCAAGGCCGATGAGTCAGATGCCTTCTATAACCTCCTGTCACAGGTGCTGGCTGAAGTGGCCCCTCGGGATAGAGTCATCTTGTTGGGCGACTTCAATGCTCGAGTTGGTCATGATGCTGGCACCTGGTCTGGAGTGATTGGAAGGCATGGGCCAGATAAGCTCAATAACAATGGTAGGAGGCTGCTAGATTTTTGTGCAGCTCATGGGCTTGAAATTACCAACATGCTGTTCCGGCATCGGCGCATCCACACAACATCATGGATGCATGCCGGGTCCAAGCAAGAACATCTGCTGGACTAAATAGTGATGGACCAGCGGATGCGAGCCCATGTCCTTGACACCAGGACCTAGCGTGGAGCTGATCTGCCCTCTGACCATCGACTTGTCATCTGTAAGATGCGCCTGCCATTCTTCCACTCCGGTGGTGGGTGTACACCCAGGACCCCATTCCAACCTAAGGTGGCCTGATCTCAGCTAGCTGATGAAAGTTGCAAGCGAGAATTTAATCATCGCTTGCGGCTGGGGTTGGCATCGTCCCCCACTCCTCCAGATGTCGAGGGTAAATGGGCGAGATTTAGGACCGACTCATGCAGCTGCAATGGCTGCTTTGGGTACGCGGTCCAGACCTCCCCAGAGACCGACTGACTGAAAGAGGAGGTGTTCAGGAAGGTTGAGAAAAAGGGACAGGCCCACTCTACAGCATCCCACGTCAAAGAATGAGGCGACTTACCGCAGCCTTCGCTCGGAGGTTCGGAGAGCCGTGAAGCGCTGCAAGGATGGGTGGTGGTCGCGGGTTGCTGAGGAGATGGAGTCTGCTTCAATGGCCCGCGATCACAAATCCCTATTTAATTCCATAAAAAAAGTAACCTGCAGCACCACACCTATTACCATCATTAGGGGAAAGAAGGGTGATCCAATCTCCGACCCCCAGTAACAGGTTTGCAGATTTGCTGAGCATTTCTGAGGTCCTGGGGGAGGGGGAATCCCTCAGCCTGGAAAACAACATTGGACAAAGTGGGGATGACCCTGCTGAGGCTGCGGTGCCTCAAATATTGGAGGAAGAAGTCACCCCCTGTGAGTGGCTGGCTGAGGTGCCATCTGTTGAGGAAGTACTGAGGGCGATCCAGAGTCTGAGACCAGGAAAGGCACCGGGCAGAGATGATCTCCCAAGCGAAATGCTCAGGGAGGGTGGCGTTTGTGCGCAGACTACCCTACATGACATCATAACAACAGTCTGGGCCACTGGACGGTTCCGCAGGACTGGAAGGATGCCCTGGTGGTCCCCCTCTTTAAGAAGGGGGACCGTACAGACTGTAACAACTACAGGGGCATCTCACTCCTCAGTGTGCCGGGAAAGGTGCTGGCAAGGATTATTCAACATCGCCTTGATAGGCACGCTGAGGAGAGGCTTGCGGAGCCCCAATGCTGTTTCAGTGGTGGGATCAGCACCATGGGACCCTCATCCGAGCCGGGTTGTAGCGGACCGGTACTGCACGTGCTATATACTGTACATGCTATAGACTGTGCATGCTATAGAGTATAGACTGTGCATGCTATAGACTGTAGTACAGTGCTGCACTGTTATGGCATCGGTTTGCAGAGGAAGGCCCTCGCCCAGCAGTGGATTGACCATGGATGAGGATGGTGGTGATGATGGTGGTGATGGTGGTGATGATGGTGATGGTGGTGATGATGGTGATCATGGTGGTGATGGTGGTGATGGTGGTGATGGTGGTGATGGTGGTGATGATGGTGATGATGATGGTGGTGATGGTGGTGATGATGGTGATGGATGGTGGTGATGGTGATGATGGTGGTGATGATGGTGATGATGGTGGTGATGATGGTGGTGATGATGGTGGTGATGATGGTGATGATGATGGTGGTGATGATGGTGGTGATGATGATGATGATGGTGGTGATGATGATGGTGATGATGGTGGTGGTGATGATGGTGATGATGGTGATGATGATGATGGTGGTGGTGATGGTGATGATGGTAATGATGGTGGTGATGATGGTGATGATGATGGTGGTGATGATGGTGATGATGATGGTGGTGATGATGATGATGATGGTGGTGATGATGGTGGTGATGATGGTGATGATGATGGTGGTGATGATGATGATGATGGTGGTGATGATGGTGGTGATGATGATGGTGGTGATGATGATGATGGTGATGATGGTGGTGGTGATGATGGTGATGATGGTGATGATGATGGTGATGATGGTGGTGGTGATGGTGATGATGGTGATGATGATGATGGTGGTGGTGATGATGGTGATGATGGTGATGATGATGATGGTGGTGGTGATGGTGATGATGGTAATGATGGTGGTGATGATGGTGATGATGGTAATGATGGTGGTGATGATGGTGATGATGATGATGGTGGTGATGATGATGATGATGATGGTGGTGGTGATGGTGGTGATGATGATGGTGGTGATGATGGTCATGACGGTGATGATGTGATAGTGATGTGTGATGGTGGTGATGGTGGTGGTGGTGGTGATGATGATGATGATGGTGGTGATGATGATGATGGTGGTGGTGATGATGGTAACTTTTCTCAAAGTCGCGTACAGTATACAACTGGCTGCACGCGCGCGCCGTTTACAGTGCGAGCGCAGTACACAGCGCGTACAGTGTGCACGGCGCGTACAGTGTGCACGGCGCGTACAGTGTGCACGGCGCGTACAGTGTGCACGGCGCGTACAGTGTGCACGGCGCGTACAGTGTGCACGGCGCGTACAGTGTGCACGGCGCGTACAGTGTGCACGGCGCGTACAGTGTGCACGGCGCGTACAGTGTGCACGGCGCGTACAGTGTGCACGGCGCGTACAGTGTGCACGGCGCGGACAGTGTGCACGGTGTAAAAGTAAACTCACAGCGCGGTCTCGGCGCAGGGCCCAGGCGATAGGCGCGGACGAGAGAGGCGCCTCTGTGTCGCCTCCTCGACTTCTATCATCCAGCCCCGCCGGACGGGACGACTCTCGCCGCTCTCTCTCTCTCTCGCGCGACTTCTCGAGACAGCGAGACACGGAGAGACACACACGGAGAGACACACAGAGGGAGAGAGACAGAGAGAGAGAGAGACAGAGAGAGACACACACGGAGAGACACACAGAGGGAGAGAGACAGAGAGAGAGAGAGACAGAGAGAGACACACACGGAGAGACACACAGAGGGAGAGAGACACGGAGAGAGAGACACACACACGGAGAGAGAGACACACACGGAGAGACACACAGAGGGAGAGACACACAGAGGGAGAGACACAGAGGGAGAGAGACACAGAGAGAGAGAGACACAGACACACACGGAGAGACACACAGAGTGAGAGACGGCGAGACACAGAGAGGGAGACACACACACAGATACACACAGAGAGACACACAGAGAGACACAGAGAGGCACCCACACACAGCGAGAGACACACAGATACACACACAGATACACACAGAGAGACACACAGAGAGACACAGAGAGGCACCCACACACAGCGAGAGACACACAGATACACACACAGATACACACAGAGAGACACACAGAGAGACACAGAGAGGCACCCACACACAGCGAGAGACACACAGATACACACACAGATACACACAGAGAGACACACAGAGAGACACAGAGAGGCACCCACACACAGCGAGAGAGAGGCACTGGGGACACTTTCGCGTGCTGCGGCTCCGGGCTAAGAGCGCTCGCGCTGTGGCAGCAGCAGCGGCGCCCTCGTGGCCGGGCGCTCGCGATTGGCCAGAGCGGCGAGCCACGTGACGAGGCGGAGGCCGCCACCAAAGGCAAAGGTGGCCCGCATAGCCTCCAGGGGATTTAGGGGCAAGTGCTGTAGGCAAAGGTGGCCCGCGTAGCCTGTAACAGGCTGTAGGGGCAAGTGCTGTTAGCGAGCAGCGCCTTTGACGGCCGGCACGGCACACGAGGGGGTGGGTGGCCAACAGCGCGCACGCCCGGTCGCCTTTGTCTCCCCAGTGGCGATCTTTACTACACACCGCACCAGGTACTCATTGGAGGCCGAGTCGACCTAGGGGAGGCCCAGGACCTGTTCAAGATAATAGCCGTCACTAGTAGCGCGCAGCGCGCTAACCGTTGCACCACCGCTCCCCCACCGATACCACAGAGACGTCACCACGGCGCCCGTGCCAGGCTAGGTGCACTTTGAGGCTATCACGTGAAGCGTTGAAGGCTCGCTGACCAGGAGGTCTCGGGACAGACCCTGCAGGTGCCACGGGTCGACTGACTGAGATGACCGGTAGATGCACACCAGCTCTACCCCCTACTGTGCCAGGCTAGGTGCATGAGGTATTGATACAGACCCTGCAGGTGCCACGGGTTGAATGACTGAGATGACCGGTAGATGCACACCAGCTGTACCCCCTACTGTGCCAGGCTAGGTGCATGAGGTCTCGATACAGACCCTGCAGGTGCCACGGGTTGAATGACTGAGATGACCGGTAGATGCACCACTAGCTGTACCCCCTACTGTGCCAGGCTAGGTGCAGGAGGTCTCGGGACAGACCCAGCAGGTGCCACGGGTCGACTGACTGAGATGACCGGTAAATGCACCACCACCTGTGCCCGCTACTGTGCCAGGCTAGGTGCAGGAGGTTTCGGGACAGACCCAGCAGGTGCCACGGATCGACTGACTGAGATGACCGGTAGATGCACCACCACCTGTGCCCGCTACTGTGCCAACTCGCTGTGTTTTAGCCGCCCGGCGCTCCGCTCGTTGTTGTGAGCGTCGCTCCTCCCCCCTCCGTTGTTGCTGGAGGGCGACTGCCTCCAACTGCCCAGTGTTGTATACTAACCCTTCTTCCAAAATTGAGATTAATAATATTTGATGATATTTTTATATATTATCTTTTTACTTGTTTTTTTTAATGAATGAAACACACCAAAGCGCAGCAAACTGCAAAACACCAGGTGTTGTTAAGTAATGAACTGGAGGAGGGCTAGGATGGCAGAATTTGCAACCTTGCTTCAAGGAAAGATAAGGCCTGATGAACGGGCACATGTCACCCGTGCAGGCGGCAGAGACAGTGGGAGTGTCAGCCAGACATAGTTAAGGCAAAAAGCCCAACCATCCTGCATGGTTTTAAAGTAACGTCAAAATTCGAAATTCAACAACAGAGTAGGCTAAATTATCGATCCTCGCGCTCGCTCAAATTGGAGACCAGGCTGTGTTGTATACTAACCCTTCCTCCAAAATTGAGATTAATAATATTTGATGATTTTTATATATTATCTTTTTACTTGTTTTTTTAAACACACCAAAGCGCAGCAAACTGCAAAACACCAGGTGTTGTTAAGTGATGAACTGGAGGAGGGCTAGGATGGCAGAATTTGCAACCTTGCTTCAAGGAAAGATAAGGCCTGATGAACGGGCACATGTCACCCGTGCAGGCGGCAGAGACAGTGGGAGTGTCAGCCAGACATAGTTAAGGCAAAAAGCCCAACCATCCTGCATGGTTTTAAAGTAACGTCAAAATTCGAAATTCAACAACAGAGTAGGCTAAAGTATCGATCCTCGCGCTCGCTCAAATTGGAGACCAGGCTGCGAGCTACATCAATGAACCATTGCCCATTTGCTAATCCAATACTGAATGTTAATATTACTGAAGTCAAAACGAATTCTATGACCTCAGCACATGGGCAAATAATAGGGCAGTGTCGACTCAAAGGCAATGGAAGAAAACAGAGGCGCCTTTGTCTAAATCACAACCACAGAAAGCCAGGAATCATCACTGATTGTGTGTTTAGGGATTCCGAGCTAGTTGGAACACGTGCACACAGGGGGGAGGTAGAAGTACGCCTTGTCCTCCTGCAGCTGAGGGAGCAAAGATAAACCCAAGAAGGCCAAGAAATTAAATTAAGTGGGTCAGCTCAAGGCTGTGTGCACAGGGGAGGGAGCTGATTTAAACAACCCTGCACGTCTGAACGTGAGGGGGCCCTGGACCTGAAATTAAGAATAACACTCCCAGAGCAGAAGGTGATACACGGTGAGACGAGAATAAGAGGGTTGTATATCTCTCAAGGATGCAGACCCAGCTGAACAACAAGGCTGCGGGGGTCACCAGAAGTTCGCGTTCGCCTAGTTAAGACAAAAATCTCAATTATTCTGTATTGCTATTAAAGTAACGTTAAAGTCGGAATTTAACAACAGGGTAGGCTAAAGTTTGATATTCACACCCACTCCAATTAAACCAGGTCACAAGTACGCCTACTGAACCATCACCATCATTAAGTCAATATGAAATGTTATTTCCATACTTTAATGCTTTCTATACAACTCGACCCGAAGCATATGCATGAAAAGACAAAAGTAAAACTTATGAAAAGCCAGGATAACGGGATGAATCACCACCAGGTCGAATATAAATACATAATAAAAAAACGATGTTAAACCCAGGGTCGGAGAGAAAGGGAGATCCCGGCCGTCTTTGTATCTCCGCCGCGCGGGATAGGAGTGTGTATACGCTCGGGGAAACACCTCCACTTGAGTCAAGCACCACGATGGGAAACGACAGACCTTAGGTTACATACAGAATCATAACTGTGAAATAGTAAGGGACAAATGTTAACTTAAAACTTCTTAACCATTTCTTTGTGCGCCGGGTCGGAGAGAGTGTTGCCCCTCCCTCCAGGTGGTGCAACACGAACAAAGACGCCTATGAGACGATTTGTAACGTCTGTGTTTTGGGTTCATGAAGAAGGCCAGACAAGAGATAATATTGCACCCAGACAGAGAGACGACCTCGAGGCAATTTGTAACACCTGATTGTTTGCTCGTGGGTTTTATGGAGGGAGTGGGACAACGTAATACCGTGAGTGATGCACACAAGGACATACGGACGTACGGACACACACATGGACACACCTGCCTACGGACAGATCCTGACACAGCAAAAATCGAAAAGAAGCCCCGCCTTGTGGGCGGGATCCAGGGGGATTTTTCGGCATAAAGGAAAGGATCCTGAGCATTGGAAATTAGTGCGACCAGCGGGTCGGCTCACGGGGGGAGTGCGACCAGCGGGTCGGCTCACGTGGGGGGTGCGACCAGCGGGTCGACTCAGGAGCGAGCTGCGACCAGCGGGTTGGCTCGACTCATCCTCAGCTCGTCTGGGACTCAGCCGAGTTCGATCGGCTTGCCAAAGCCGGCTCTCGGGGCTCGACTCAAGCGGCTCCCCATCTCCTCTGCAGGCGGGCAAGACCCGCTTGACAGCTCAACTCGGCCTGCGTGGGTCAACCTCTGCCGAGTCGGAGGTCTCTGCTGCCGCCGGAGTGGTGAGAGTCGCGGTTTGGCGACGAGGCTCGCGGTTCGGCGACGACCCAGCACTGCACGCTGCGAGCGAGTTGTGGGCGCCACCTACCGACCGGGTTCCGAACTGCGACAGCGTATCAACGGGCATCCGAACCAGTTCCCCACGGTGACAGGGGAGCGACTGATACGTATGACGCGCACCGCCCCCTCACCACACGACCACCAGGCGTCTGTTTGACATAAAGAATCGACTCCGAACACTGACTATTCAAGACAACTCTTACCACTCAAACACACTCGAACCCATAAGCCATCTGTGGCTGGGAAGGCATCACAACGAGACCGAATGATGGCCATCCGTCGTTTATAAAAGTATTCGTAATTTTTATCTTTAATATTTAGTGGGCTGTACTCTTAATCGCATAAATTCCCAACAGATCCATCAATACGAACTGATTTTTGGCACCTCCTTCCGCCGAGCCACGCTCACGTGGGGAGTGGTGGCCACCGGATCCTTATCAGGTGATCTGGTCCCCAATTAGTAAACTTGGTATAAGATAACGATCTTCGGAAAAGGAGCACCGTCGCAGGCCCTTACTCCGAGCCGTTCTGTTGTCAGATAACCTGCCGATGTATCTGTTGAGATTGGTGCCTTTAAGAATAATAACTGTTTTTGATTGTGTTTTTTTATCGCCGTATAATCTTTCAAGTATCTTTCAGTCATAATCGCCGCACGTACTCGCATCCTCTACAGAATATTCAACTGTCCCGTGACCCAAGGTGCTAACAACGTGATAAGGGTTGCGTATGATCAATAAGGAGTGCGGTACTGCGTGAACAAAATTGAGTATAATCATTCATTAACGTTAAGGTTTTCTTAGCATAGTATTTGCATATTTTAACGACTCTCTCACTAACAACCATCGCGTTATGCGGGATCCATGTGCCGTTGTCAAAGTGAAATCAGACAATCGTTGATGATACTGTATTGATGCCGTGTTGACGTTCCGGGATTGAGAGTTCGCATACTATATCATAGTTAAGGTTGAATTAGTAATAAATTGATCAATACAGAAGTGGTTGTGTGATTCTTTCCTGAAATCTATGCATAAGATCTGCTTCTGCGTTGAGATCTGAACTTGGTGACCTTAATAAACACACTAACACATACTCAGTAAATGTTAAAGCGATAACGGGGTGAACCGGGGACCTAAAATATAACCACGAATACACACTCTGGGAATGTTAAAGCGAGAATGAGACGAACCTAGACAACGATGCCGAGTTAATTTAAGTTAATCTTGCATACTTACACCACACCTGCATAACTGCATACGATTAATTGCCTTATTCCGATCGATAACCCACCCTCATCACCGAGGCGGGGTCTGGTTATCATAACGACTTGCATTATCATAATTACACCCACTCGCATAATTAATACGATTACCTCTCGAATTGGTATAATTAAAATGTGCATAATTACATAAATTAACATATTTCCGGATAATTACACATTTGGCCAAATTTCATTTAATTATTATTATTTTCACTGAATATTCATAACCCACATATACAACATAATAATTTCACCCACGCACGCATACAACATAACAAATTTTGATAACCAACATATACAACAGCTGCGAGCTACATCAATGAACCATTGCCCATTTGCTAATCCAATACTGAATGTTAATATTACTGAAGTCAAAACGAATTCTATGACCTCAGCACATGGGCAAATAATAGGGCAGTGTCGACTCAAAGGCAATGGAAGAAAGCAGAGGCGCCTTTGTCTAAATCACAACCACAGAAAGCCAGGAATCATCACTGATTGTGTGTTTAGGGATTCCGAGCTAGTTGGAACACGTGCACACAGGGGGGAGGTAGAAGTACGCCTTGTCCTCCTGCAGCTGAGGGAACAAAGATAAACCCAAAAAGGCCAAGGAATTAAATTATTAAATCCAGGGTGAGTGGTCAAATGAAGTGGGTCAGCTCAAGGCTGTGTGCACAGGGGAGGGAGCTGATTTAAACAACCCTGCACGTCTGAACGTGAGGGGGCCTTTGACCTGAAATTAAGAATAACACTCCCAGAGCAGAAGGTTGGATGGCCACAGTGAGACGAGAATAAGAGTGTTGTATATCTCTCAAGGATGCAGACCCAGCTGAACAACAAGGCTGCGGGGGTCACCAGAAGTTCGCGTTCGCCTAGTTAAGACAAAAAGCTCAATTATTCTGTATTGCTATTAAAGTAACGTTAAAGTCGGAATTTAACAACAGGGTAGGCTAAAGTTATTGATATTCACACCCACTCCAATTAAACCAGGCCACAAGTTACGCCTACTGAACCATCACCATCATTAAGTCAATATGAAATGTTATTTCCATACTTTAATACTTTCTATACAACTCGACCCGAAGCATATGACAATCAGAACCTTCCTAAGTCAAAATTGAATCGCACCCAGACAGGAGCGAATAGTCGATATAAGGTTGAAGAGGGAAGGAAATTAAGAGCACGGCGAACTGCAAACGTAAGCAAAAAGCCGGGAACGACACCAGCCCAGCAACAGCGAGTCGGGCTTCGACAGGCCATAAAAGTAGAAATAATAACTCCCGGGGTCAGGGGACACAAGAAGAAGCAGGCAGACAAAAACCAGAACTGACTCCAAGGTTCAACCGCCCTCACCTACAAGGAGTGACGGAAATTAATGAGGCCTTGAGTTAACGGCGTCAGCTGGACAGCAACAACAACGGCGAGCAGAGATAGGGTGGGGCAAAGACTGCGGGGCTATGGAATGCAACTTCGTGTCAGTAAAGCCCTGACAAACAAGTTAAGTTAAAGACATCACAATACATAATATCGTACATAACATCAATGTTAACGCTATTCACCGTAAACTATATTCCGCTTATATAACCATGCAGACACCAAGGAATACGAATTCCTAGGATCAAGAAACTTACCCCTTAACCTAAGATATCGGAAATAAATTAATAATAATAAGCATATGCATGAAAAGACAAAAGTAAAACTTATGGAAAAGCCAGGATAACGGGATGAATCACCACCAGGTCGAATATAAATACATAATAAAAAAAAACGATGTTAAACCCAGGGTCGGAGAGAAAGGGAGATCCCGGCCGTCTTTGTATCCCCGCAGCGCGGGATAGGAGTGTGTATACGCTCGGGGAAACACCTCCACTTGAGTCAAGCACCACGATGGGAAACGACAGACCTTAGGTTACATACAGAATCATAACTGTGAAATAGTAAGGGACAAATGTTAACTTAAAACTTTTTAACCATTTCTTTGTGCGCCGGGTCGGAGAGAGTGTTGCCCCTCCCTCCAGGTTGTGCAACACGAACAAAGACGCCTATGAGACGATTTGTAACGTCTGTGTTTTGGGTTCATGAAGAAGGCCAGACAAGAGATAATATTGCACCCAGACAGAGAGACGACTTCGAGGCAATTTGTAACATCTGATTGTTTGCTCGTGGGTTTATGGAGGGAGTGTGACAACGGAATATACCGTGGGTGATGCACACAAG